GCATGACCTCTCCGACAACTGCTGGCGATAGTACTCGCTCTCGGAACGCATCTGACCAGCCACACACCACACACACACCACACACCACCATACACAATGTTCCCCCTCTCCCCTCCCTCCCTCAGTGCCACTGAGACCGACCTGGTCCATGTTGGGTAGGGGCGGCTGGTTGCGCCACCCACGGCCACGCGACGACGACGAGGAGGACGACGCCCCCATCCCCGGCACGCGGAGGTTGGCCCCGAACTCACGCTGGAAGGGCAGACACGGCACCTTCATCGGACCTGAGCACACACACACACACGCACACACACACAGACACATGGATGGATGGATGGATGGTCTCCCCCCCCCTCTCTCTGTGTGCCTCACTCACCGATTGGGGGTCTGTATTGGCGGTTGTCTTTCTGGTCCTCCTCGTAATCGTCCTCTTCGTCCTCGTCGTCGTTGTCCTCCTCCCCCTCCTCGTAGAGGGGCGGGGGCGGCTGGGTGGGCCGCTCCGGCAACAACACACCCACACCCGAGCTAAGGCTACCCTTCCCCCCACCCTGTTTGTCCCCCTCCTCCTCCTCTATGCCCTCCTCTCCCTCACCCACACCCACACCCACACCGGGCTTGGCCCCCTTCTCGCCCCGCATCACCTTGCCCATGTGCTCCTGCAGCTCAGGTGAGATGCCCGCCGAGCGCGTCTTGCCCTTCTGGTGCTGTTTCTTCTTGATGCGAATGTCGCGCGTGGCCTCGCTCTTGAGGACCGCCTGTGTGTGGCTGTCCTGGTTGATCTGGAAGGCCTCTATCTCATGCCGGATGGTGCTGTGGTCGCGGGGGATGCGCGCGCCGCCCTGGGGCGGCTTGCTGGGGACGCCCGTGGTGTCGATGCTGCCCCCGTCCTGCTGCTGCTGCTGCTGCTGTTGGTGGGCGACGAGGTTGCTCAGGGGCGTGACGAGGCCGCCGTTGGTCATGTTGGTGTCGTCCTGCTCGCTTCCCTCCTCACGAATGATGGCGCCGACGGTGTTGGGGGCCGGGTTGCTGTAGATGACCCCCGCGGCCGGCAGCACGTGGTGCTGGTCCCTGACCATCACCGGCGGGCCCTGGGGGTGCGTAGGGGGCGGCAAGTAGCTCCGCGCCGGCCCAATCCCACCACCCATACCCATACCCATCCCACCACCTACTCCCATGCCCATGGTGCCCGGCATCGCTATCCCTCCGCCCCCTTGTTTCTTCTGCAGTTGCTGCGGCATCATGGCCGGGAGCGTCCCACGGCCGGTCACCTGCTGGTTCTGATGCATCAGCTGCTGGTACTGGTGCTGTGGCGGCCGCACCGGATGGCCGCCCCCGCCCCCGACCCACGGCAGCATGAAGGGCACTGGGGTGGTCTCGCCCTGCCCCTGTGTGCCCGGCCCGCCGCCTAACCCCAGGCCCCTCTTCATGGCCAGCCACGGCGCCTGGAAGAACCCCACGCGCTGCTGCTGATGCTGCTGCTGTTGGGGGTGGAAGGGCCTCTGCTTGGGTTTGGGGTCGTAGGATGCGTGTGCGTCGGGGAGGTATAGGGGCCTCTGTGCGGTGGCTGCGGTGTTGGTGTACTGGATCATGTTGGGCACGGGGTTGCGCGGGAGCGTCGAGTGGGAGCCCGTGGCGGTGAGCTGTGGGGGCGGCGGGCCCGTCTTGGTGGGCTGTGGCGTGCGAGGGGGAGCGGGCATCGTGAGGTTCTGAGCACTGTGCGGCGCCATGCCCGACAGATCTTGCGACTGAGGATATGCACGACCTGCACACAGCAACACAACACCACAACAAACAGGGAAAGATGTTTTCCCGTGTTGTGCAGAGCGCCGCGCCTTCCTTTTTTCGTGCGTACGGTATGGCTGCAGGTTGGCAGCCGCAGGGCGACCAGCGACGAACCCAGCGGGCAGGTTCGCACCAGGGTGTCCATAACCTGACCATCCACAACGCAAAACGACGAATGCACCGTCAGATCTGGCCGTTTTCACCCTTCCTCTGCCCCCTCCCCCGTCGCTTTCGCTCACCACTAGTCGGCGTCAGCTGAGGGTACGCAGAAGGCGGCCTCTGCGCCGATGCGCCATCGCCAGCACCGCCCGCCATCCCGTGAGGTGTCGTGGCGACAGGGCGGGGGGCGAGCGGACGCTGCGGGGGCTGCGACATCGCTCACGTCAGTTACAGAGAAGAACCGAGGCTTAATCCATGGTTGGGAAGGTACTGGCGCTAAGGCATTCCGTTTACGCCGTCGTAAATGTTTGAGGCCGCGCCTTGTGCGCCTTCCCCAAGCCCCATCGGCAGTGACAGACACTCACGCAAGCACGGCTAAGGCCTCTACACGCAGAAACACAACGGCAGCATCAGATAGACTAGGCGTAATATGCACAAGCACACATATCACGGCCACAGTACCCAGCAACACCACACACCACACACATGCAACATGCGACGAAGCAGCCAGGGATGGGGTGGGATGCCGAAACGGCTAGCTGTATACCATATATGATCCACACATTTGTCCATCTCCGTGCGATCGATGCAAAAGTGGCAATAGCCAGCTCCCTCTCTCTGTCGCTCTCTCTCCCACTGTAAGCCACACACCCAGACAGACCACCAAAAGCCTCACGCAGCGGACACTGTGCCCCTCCCTCCCTCTCTCGTGCCTGCACTGACAGCATGAACTGCGTCAAGGCCACACACACCCACACAGGTGTTCAGGTGGATCAGCAACATCATCAGCCAAATAGTTTCCCTCCCACACCCCACCGCGAAAAAGACACCACCCAAATGGCCTCATTGTTGTTGCAATCGTCATGGCTTTGCGATGTGAACCGTCACTCGTGCGGCAGGGGGCTCGGGCGCCTTCATCGTGGCACGTTTGCCTATCAGTCGAAACTCCCCGCTTGCATCAGTCTCTGCCACACCCCCACAGACACATGGTGAGTGTTTCGCTTTCACCAAATACCCCCCCCAGGCCGTATTGCGTTGCTCACGGTATTTGCAGCAGTACTGGCGGATGCATCCCACGGCGAGAGGGCACTCGGGCTCGGGAACGGCCGGGTAGTCGGGGGCCAGGCCAGAAATCATCCTGCAGTCGCCTTGGGGGGGCAGCTCACAGTTGCCCGCCACTTTCTTCTGGCTGCGCCTTGACACACCGTCGTTGAACAGGCGGCGGAGCACATGCCCGCGCCCCCTCTCCCAGTAGCCAATTCCAGGCAGCCCGCCGTGTCCGCCGTCGGGGAGATCGGGCAATTCAGCACGAGGCAGCGTAATTGCTTCTCGGGCGTCCTTCGCAACTGACCACAGACAAAGGCATATGTCATACTTATTGCCCCAGCAAAACATCCGTCTGTGTATGTGTGTGCCCATGGCCTCTCTTGCTCCCCTCTGCCTCCGGCCCTCGTGCTCACTCACTGCATCTGAGCCCTGCCGTGCTGCCGGGTGCGTGGGTGAGTGAGAAGTGGCACGAGAGGTTGCAGCAGTCGGACATGTGCCGGCAGGTGCCCCCCTCCGGCACGCACGAATACGCCCGGGGTGCGTCCGGCTCCTCCTGCGCCGGCACCTCCTCCTCCTCTCCCATCGTGGCCCCTTCTCTTCTCTTCGTCTCCTCCTCTGCCGACCTCAGGCCCGGTCCTGAGCACGGCGGCTCTGCACACAGCTCTGTCACGATTGCGTCAGGCGTCACCACGTCCACTAGTGGCGGCTCCTCAGTGCCCGTCGGATCAAAATCGAGCAGCTCTTTGTCGGCGTTGGTGTCGATGGGCGGGAGAAGGCGGGCACTGGCAGACACTGCAACCCACACACAAGGACGAGGCAACACAACACAGTTCGGCAGATGAGCTTCTTTTGCCAGCCGGCCGTAGTACCTGGGCAGACGGAGCACGTGCCTGCGACGCAGCTGTGGTCAGCGTCACTGGCGCAGTAGCTGGCACTGCTCACGCCTGAACAAAGGATGCCCGATTCGCACTGACACGCGGTCTCCGACTCCTCTCGGCAGCTGCCCTTCGGCTGCGATTGTGCTGTGGCCAGCGCCACACAGAAGAAGCAGGCCGTAAGCGCCGCAGCGGCCCTCATTGGGATTCCGCAGAAAGAATTTACAGTCGCCGTTGTGTACCAAATAGGGCCCTTTTTGAGATGTTGGACGTCTTTTGGGCTGTTGCAGCGACCCTCGTCATCATGGTTATCGTGGTCATGCCCCCCACCTCCATCGCACAGGAGAGAAGGCGCGCTCCTCCAGGCCTTTTTCTCCCACAGCAAGCAAGGAACGCGACCTACGAAGGCTGCGTCCCGTCCGAGGCCGCCTGTGGGTGCGAGGCCGGCACGGTCGTCTGCAAGACTTCACTGATGCCAATGTCGGTGTGCGTGGTGAGGGAGAAGTGCCTGTCTGAGATGGAGTGCGAGTACTGTGATGAGGAGAGAGCGCGGGACGAGAGGGGCGTTTGCGGCAGAAACTGTGCGGGTGGCTGCCCCATCACCTGCACATGCGATATGAAGACCCATAGATGCGGTTAGTTAGTCAACTCTACACACAGACACACAGTGGCCGCTAGACACGTACATTGCCATCCGTCACTCACTGCCTTTCTCACCCGATGCAGTGTCGAAGAGCGGCTCTTTCCCCCCTCTGTTCCCCGACGACGACAGAGACTGGCGGCGCAGCTGGCGGGAGGAGCATCCGACCAGCAGCGCCGCCGACCAGCCCCCTTGGACGTCCGCAACCAAGCCGCCTGACGGCTCATCCGAAGAAGTGACCGAGGCACCTGACGAACAAGTGACAGAGGGGGACGACGGTGGCTTGGAGATCTACGAGGGGGATGGGGCGTGAAAGGGGGCGGAAGGCAGGGCAGGGCAGAGGAGGGGATGCGTGGACAAAGGAAGGCAAATAAGTCTTTCCATGCTGGTTGTTTGCTTGGCTGGCTGGCTGGCTGGCTGGCTGGCTTTCACGAAATGCGGTGTGTGTTTGTTGATTGGCGTGCCCGTGCGAATCGAGTAAGGGGGGAGGGGGGATGGAAGGAAATTTTCGCGTGTACCTAACCTGATGTGGTGTGTAGTGCAGTGTATTGTATTGTATGCCGCTGGGAGGGTTGGGGAAGAGGTGAGGCTATTTGTTGCTGCTGTCGAGTGGGTGAGTGAGTGTACATATTCAGTGGTGCTTCTCGTATGTCACTTGGGCGAATTGACAGCAGGCCGTGTGTGCTTCTGTGCTGTGCAGGTGTGTGTGATGCGATTGTAGCCGAGATGGCTCAGGGGCGGAACAGACAGACAGACGATATTTTTGTATGTATGTGCGTTTGTGTATGAGTGTGACTGTGTCACTGTCAGAGTGTGTGTAGGCGCCGATCCACCATGCTTTATATGGCAAAAAGAAAGAATTCAGCGCGTCAAGTCAGTCCTCAAATCGTCCATTGCAATCAGTGAATACCAAAAAGAAAACCACACACACTCATCTCATTCTTCCATGGTCTGTCTAACACTCTCTCCCTACTCGCCTAGCTATGCCGATAACAATATTTATGGATTTGCTATCTATCTACACAGCCCAGCCCAGCCCCCCTGCCGTACTTCCCCCCTCCCCTCCCTAGTCTCCCTCCCTCCCGTCCACCAAATATATTATATGCACACCACACAAACCACCCTCTTTCCCCACCCATTGTCCCAGCAACCACACCACACGAGTAAATCCCGTCTGCACGTCAGATCAGATCAACCGCCGAAGTGCTTGGTGCTCTCCTCGGATCTCAGGAAATCGTACAGTGCAGGCGCCAGGGACAGCACACGGAAGGGCCGTTTCGATGAGAGGATGCGGGCCATCTGGGGGCAGCTGTTGGTGACGTAGAAGACCTTGAAGCCCTGATCGGCATGACCCTCACCCTCGTCGCCCCCTTCACTCGACGGCACAAAGCGCTTCCATGACTCCTGTGACACAAGAGACCGAGGTGTGATGTGGTGTGGGTGTTGTGGCTGAGTGAGTGTCTGACGTGACGTACCTGTGGGAACACCCCGTGTGTGACGAATGCACTCACTGACGCGGCCCCCGCCTCGAGAAGGGCCTTCTTGCACTGGAGCAGCGTCCCGCCCGTCTTGACAAGGTCGTCAACGATGAAGACCTTCATGCCCCTGGCCTCCCCCTCAGCGATCCGCACCACCCGCCCCTTGTCGCCCTGCCGCACCTTGCTGCACACTATCAAAGGGTACTTGCCGTCAAACATGCGGCCGAACCGCTTGCGCGCGCCCTCGTCCGGGAAGGCTATGGCCACATCTGCTCTCAGGATAGACAGCCAGACAGCGAGATGTGTTGTGTGCCCGAGGCGTCTTTGAGGGTGCATTTCCATTTTACCTTTTTCGTGTCGAATGGCGTCGAGGAACAGGGGGATGGCTGCATACATACGCGACAAAGGAGTTGACAGATAGTGGGTGTTTGTTGTGGTGTTGGGTCTAATCATCACCTGTGAGGAGCACTGGGATGATGTTGTCGGAGAAGTAGAAGCGCTCCTGCAGGGCGTGGATGTCAAACATGACGATCTGAGCAGGCCCTGAACACACACACCGGGTGCGTGCATCCCTGCTGTGTCTATCTGCTACCTGTTCCATGGCACTCGGGCGTGGCTGAGAGGATCTGTGCGAGCGTCTTGGCCGTCGCAATCTGACCCTCCTGCTCTATCCTACACACACACACACACAGACAGACAGACAGAAGAAAGAGAGAGAGAGCATCGATATATCCGCAGGGCATTGCCCAGCCACACACACACACACATGCCCTCCCACCTCTCCATTGTGCCTGACAGACAGACACACGTGACGGACGATGCACTCGTGCGTGTGGGGCGTGTGTACGCGTCTGACCTGTTGGGAAGTACGGCAGGAGGATGGTCAGCGACTTGGTCAGATACTTGGGAATCGAATACATCACTGACAACTGCATAAACACAGGCAGATGAAAAAGTGCCACACGCGCGTGCACTGCACTGCATACCTGGTCGAATATGGCTGTCTCGCTGTGCTCCAGCATGAACGAGGCGAGGAAAACCACGTGCTTGCCACGCAGATGGTTCGCCCAGTCGTGGATATTGATGTTTGGAAAACCGTCCTCGAACGACTGACATGACAACCACACACAACACAACGCACCTCACCCATTGGCATGGTGCCATCCCTCCTGTCATCCCATCGCTCACCCCCCAAGTGATCTTCCCCTGCAGGAACTGCTTGTCCATGGCGCACAGCTCCCTGGCCAGTTCGTCGAACTCGGGGCAGCAGAAGATGACCTTGTCGCCTCGGTGGGAGTGGGAGGGCCTGCGGAGGGAGCCTGACGAGGGCGAGGCGGCCGGTGATTCATGCGTTGAATCCATTGTCGCGATGATGATCAAGAGAGTCAGAGATGTCAGACTGGTGATGTGTGGTTCGCCGAGGAAACGCATCCACACGCATCCAGACTACATCCAGAGATCCAGCACCCTTGGTTTCGCCCGTTCTAAGCTCGCAAATGCCAACGATGCTGAGCTCGCAGGGAAGGGCCGAAAATGGCTGGAGCAGAGAGTTCAGATGAGATCCGCGAGATCACGGAATGTTTTCCCATCAAAATAGGTGGAATGCACCCAATGCACTCGACAGGGCGATGGGACGCACAAGATGCATGTGTGTGTCTGCTGCCGTCTGCAGATGACCAGCCACTTCAGGAGTGGTCGATGGACGACCTCGCACCGTTCGACAGGCATGCAGGCACAGCAGAAAGGCGCCACAACGTGTGTGTGTGTGATGCTGTGGTTGATGTGAGATGTGATGGGCTGTGTGCGTGTGCAGGGTGCAGCGGCCTGACCGCATGCGCCACACGGCGTGGGTCAACTCCGACCTGGTCGACAAGCTGTGGCAGCAGAAGTCGCGAATGGATGAGGTTTTCGACGCCGAACAGGGCAAACTCTACAGCCGTGCGAGGGAGGAAATCTTCCCACAGGTGCGTGGTGATACAGACTCACACTCAGCGGGAGCTGCGCAGCATCTGCCGCCTGTCTGTCTGTCGTCTGTTGTGTGTGTGTCTGCAGGACCGCCATGGCTCGGAGAAATTCCGGAACCGAGCCGGCGACAAGCTGCAGGAGGTGACCATCCACCGCACACGCACCACGCCACACACACAACGGCCATCCCCCCGCCCTGTGTGCCTTCTGTCAGGTGTGCGAGGCCGTTGGCGGCATCCTCGACTGCCGGCCAGAGGGTGCGGAGCCCGTCGGCGATCCAGGTGAAGGGCCAGACACAAAGCGCCGCAAGCTGGAGAGCGGCCAGGGTGCACCAACTACTACTACTACTACTACTACGGCATCATCAGGCGACGACCAGGCAGACGCTGCTGCTGCTGCTGATGTGTACTTCGCGGACATATGTGGCGGGCCCGGTAGCTGGTCTGAGTTCCTGTTTGAGCTGGCCAAGGAGTTCCAGCTGCGGATGAAGGGATGGGGCATGACACTCAAAGTGAGGGAGGGACAACCAACACACCACACCAAAACACGTGCCAGCCTCTCTCCCTCTCTCCCTCACTCCCTCTCTCTCTCTTTGGTGTGCCTGTGTTAGGATGCGAGCAGCGAGCGTCAGTGCGACTGGTACCCGCACCTGCTGGACGACCCTCGGTGGACGGCCCTGTGGGGCGAGGACAGCACCGGCAACGTCTACCCCCCTGCAAACCTCACACACGCCGTGCAGCAGATCTTCAAGGGCATCTATGGCAAGACCGATGCCCGCTTCGACGAGGGGGTGCACCTGGCTGTGGCCGACGGCGGGTTCAAAATCGGTAGGTGGGTGAAGGAGGGGAGGGGGGCCAGAGAGAGGGGGAGAGGGAGTGGTGGATGGATGGTGTGTTCTGTGCGTCAGGTAAGGACGCTGAGACGGGGGAGCACCTGGAAAACTACCAGGAGTTGTTCTCGAGCAGGATCGTTCTCGCTGAGGTGTGGCGGCGGCGACCCATGCACACATCACATTGGCAGATCACCTCACCGATTGCGTGCTCGTATGTGTGGTGTGTCAGATTCTGATGTCGTTCATGGTTCTCCGCCCCGACGGCCACCTCGTCTGCAAACTCTTCGACAGCTTCTCGGACATGACGGTTGGTGCGCGGGCATTGCAATGGGTCACATGCACCGAAGACAGCACAGCCACACACAGGTGTTGTTTCTTTGTCTGTTTGCTTGCATTGGCAGGCGAGTGTGATCTACGCGTGCTGCCACTGCTTCCGCGAGGTGTACCTGGTCAAGCCACGCCGCTCGCGAATCGTCAACTCAGGTGCAATGGTTGTTGGATGGATGAGGCCATTGCGATGCGCACGGCATGTGTCGGTTGACTCATTCAGAGCGCTACTTGGTGGCCAAGTTCTTCAAGGGCCGTCACGGGCCGCAGTTTGACCTCCTGATGCAGTCGATGAGCACGGTAAGACAGACAACACACACACACACACACAGAGTAGACGCTAGCCATTCTCCATCCTTCTCTCTCGCATGTGTGTGTTGTGTGAGCAGCTGCACCGTCGCTGGCACGATGGTTCGATCCCCGACGACAGCTCCCCCCTCTCCGCTGTGCCCCTGTCCGTCCTCACCGGCAGCACCGCCTTCGTCAAGTCACTGCGGTCCGCCAACGACTACCTCGCCAACAAACAGGGCCTCGCTCTCAACCTCGTCATGAACAGGGTAGGGGCACCTCAACAGTGCAAGCCGCTGACACCCACACACAAACACACACCTGTGCATCTGCAGGTGCAGGAGATGCGCGAGAGGGGCGAGGGCCAGCGGGGGCGAGGCGGTCGAGGGCGCGGGGGGTGGCGTGGCGGCCGCGACAGAGGGGGTGATAGAGGGAGGGGTGATTGGGGCAGGGGGAGAGGTGGGGGTGGCGGCGGGTGGCAGGACGATCGGCGGTATAACAATGGGTGGAGAGGGGGAGAGCCGCACAGGGGCATGGGCATGGGCATGGACAGGGGAAGAGGCAGGCAATACTGATCGATTCACAGTGCAGCCACACTGCTGCATGCTATTGGTAGATTCGAAACGCGCTGCTGTTATCGGTTGTGACTATCAGCAGCACGAACCAAGAGATAGTTAGAATTGAATGCGAATCTCATCCTTCTTTCAGTGTTCCGATTAACGGCACCATTAGCCCTAACTCATTAAGTCAGTGCATCTTCCTTTTCGGACTCGTGCCTCGCCGCCTGGCACTTCTAAGCAGAGATCTACCAAACCACTCGGTGAGATCGGTGCCCTCTTCCTTGCGAGGACTCTCTGCTCCCTCAGCCGTACAATGGCTCTTCGTGGCATGATGCTGATGGCTCTGGCCGTCACACTCGCCCTCTGTGTGGCGGGCAGCTCTGGCTTCGTATCGCTCACAAAGACAACACAGGTATGTCCCACACGCACGCACGCCAACCTCTCACTCTCGATGTCTGTCTGTCTGTGTCTGTTCACACGTGTGCGCGCGTAGGTTCGTCGTCTGCAAGAGGGTCCACCCGCCGGCTCGTCGCTGTCTGAGTCGGAGTACGACGGCCTTCGTCACCTGCTCGAGGCAACAAACGACACGACACTCACAACGCTCTACAGGTACGTGACGTACACGCTTTTTCTTGAGAACCAGAGACCAAATAGTCGATGGTTCTTCAGGGCCTCTGTGGACGGTACTGCATATGGTGACATGCTGGACCGTGTTGAGAACAAGACGGAACTGGTGATTGTCATCCGCAATGCCCAGTACGTCTTCGGTGTCTACATCAGGGACGGCATCCGCCTGCCCGACGACCCGACGGGCACGCACGAGTACCACCCGTACATGTGGTGGTTCTCACTGGCCGGCCACTACAGCAATCCGACCAAGATGAGACTCACCCCTCCGGAACTGGATGTGGAAGTGGCGGGGAGGGAGGGAGGGAGTGTGCCTAGCGGTTCAAGCGTGTATGCGAGGGTGTATGTCGGTGGGGGTTTCATGTTGGGCCGTGCTGGCCCGGACAGTGGCCGCCCTGCCACAGACATCCGCAACTGCAGGTCGAGTATGTGGTGGGGGACGGTGTCGGCTGCTGGGGATTACATGGGGGTGTCGGTTGGTTCCAGGGCTCTGCTGGGGGGCAGTGAGGTGTTCGTAGCTGATGAGATAGAGATGCTCACTGTGGAGTGAGTGAGCCTCTCTATCCCTTCCCCTCCCTGCCTTCGTGTCATCTTCTGTGTGCGCGTGTATGTGTGTGTGTGTCTTCCTGACATCTTCATGTGTGTGCCATTTGCTGGACTGTCTGCGGGTGAGCCGATAGATCTCCTCTCGAGTAAAATAGCGTACTGTGCTGGCCGCGGACATTCATGTCTGCAAATGTGGACACGTGTGTGTGTGGGTGGGTGGGTGGGTGGGTGGGTGTTTGGATGAAGAAGTGCTCGTTGTCACTGCAAACACGGGATGAGTCAGCAGTACTTAACCCTCCGTGACGACATTGCAACCATTGCCTACAGCTGCGGCAGAGGTGATGATTTGGGAAGGGAGAGAAGGAAGAGAATCAGAGTTGAATCGTCATCATCATCATCACGCTATAGTGTCAACACGACGAGCACCAGCATCCTCAGCAGGCAGACAGGCACACATGTCATGCGTGTGCAGACGGGTGAAAAAATCGACTCGATAGACAGATGTGTATGTGAGTCGCCCAGCCGAGCGAGTGCGTGTTTTTGCTGCACGTGTGTGTGCAATGAAGAGGGAGGGAGACAGGTCAGGGCAGAGTAGAGACAGACAGAGAGAGACAGGCAGACGGGGGGCACTCACAGACGCACGCACGCACGCAGGACGGCCAGCCAGGGAAGGAAGTCAGTAAGTGCTGTACAGTACGATCCCTCCTGACAGACACACACACACACACACAAATTGCAGTCAATAATCCATACATCAATTCACTCGCCGCGAAGACATTGCAGCCATTGCACCTCCCCCTCTCTCTCTCTCTCTCTCTCTCTCTCAGGTGGCTGAGCTGCATCAATCACCTCACGCGCAGCCAGCGGCCCCTCACTCTCACTCATCGATCAGTGCAGGAAGAACCAGCAGCAGGGTCCGTGCGATAGATAGAGGAATGGATGGATGGATGGATGGGTAGAGAGACAGACAGGGCAAAACTGGACTGCCTTGCAACGACGACAATATCTCATCTCAAAGTCAGTCAGTCTCCAGGCCTCCTAAGCTTTGCGATCCATACATACCGACCCACTCAGCCCTCACTACACCAATTCATATCGACTGAAACGGGGGGAGTGAGGGAGGGAGGGGGTAATCAGGAAGGGCCGGCCATGCGCGCATGAACAGGGCCAAGCCAGCCATCAGCGCGTTGAGTCAAAGTTAAACCGTTGAAAGAAAGGAAAACAGGCACGACACACTGACTGACAGGCACTCCTGTCGTCACGTCGTCACCTCCTCTGGAACCTGGCCCGTAGGCTCTCAGCGGTCTCGATGTGGGAAGGCACTTGTGAGAGGGGGTCCCTGCCCGGGTTGGTCCCCGCAAAGGCAGGGATGTCGATGCTGATCCGTGAACCGGTCGCCTGCAGAGTTTGGAGAGTCGACGCCAGCTGGCCCTCCAGAGCCTGACGTGTGACACAGGGAGAGGGGAGAGGGCGCAATGCGTCATGTGGCTTGGGGTGTGGAAACTTTGACTGACGCACACGCACCTCTTTCTCTTGCTCGAGGGCTGCAATCCTGTTCCTCAGCTCGGTTTCTCTCCTGGCACTCGTCTCTGCACACAGACACACCCCAGCCAGACACACGTGAGGCCATGCCATGCATGTCGAACGTAGATTCACCGGCCCGGCCCACAGGTACCTTGCAGCTCTCTGAGCTTGCTCGTGAGGGTCTCCTCGCTCTGCCTCTTAGCCGTCTCCAGCTCCCGAATCTTGTTCATCAGCTCCCTCTCCATCTCGGCCGCCGCCTGCCGCACCTCACGCAGCTCGTTCCCGTACTCCTGTTCCTTCTTCTGCTTATCGGCCTCCAAAGACTGAAGCGCCTTCCACAGCTCGGACTCTCGCTGGGCGCTGGTCTCCTCGAGCTGCCTGAAATCGGTGCTGAAGGCGTCGCGGGACTGTGTGGTGGACTCCTTGAGGTCGTTGAGGGCCTGCACCAGTTTCTGCTCTCGCTGCGCACTGGAGGTGCGGAGCTCGCGGAGGGACTCGGTCAGCTGGGCCTCCCTCTGCTGCTTGTCGACTGCAGGCGACCCACACAGGGAACAAACGAGACGCGTGTGATGTGATGGGTGGGTGTGATTGCTCTCCCCTCCTCACTCATGAGGTCTTGGATTTGTTTCTTGAGGCTGGCCTCCCGTTGTGAGCTCGCCGCCTCAAGCTCACGCAGACTCCTCGTCAAATCTATAGCGACACACAGAGGAAGAACACACGGATGCCTCTCGGTTTGATGGGGTGGGTGGCCTGCCTGCGTACTTTCGAGCACTTCTCCCTCCTTCTTTGAGGTCTCCAGCGCCTCAATCGTCTCCCGAATGTTCTCCCGGAAGGCGTCACGCATCGACCGCGGCGCAGCGGCCTGCACCGCCTGCTCCTCGTCCCTCTGCTTCTGCGACTGCTGTGCCGCGGCCTCCATGGCCTTGAGCTGGCCCTCCAGGTCCATCAAGGCCTGTGAGAGGTCGGCCTCGCTGCGGCGCTTCTCGGCCTCGAGTGTCCGCAGCTGCTTCAAGAGCTGCTTCTCCCTCTCAGCACTGTGCAATGTAAAGGGACAGAGAAAGAGGTGTGCTGTCTGTCTGCCTGCCTGTGTGTCGGTCGGGAAGGCGTATGTTACCTGCTAGCCCTGAGTTTCCTCAGTGTCTCAGTGAGCTCGTCTTCCCTTTTCTGTCGCGTAGCAGTGAGCGTCTGCAGCTCAGTCCTCAGCGCCGCCTCCCTCGCGGCCGCGGCCTCCTCCACCTCCTTGAGCCGCGCATTCATCTGGTCCTCGCTCTCCTTCTTGGCCGCCTGCACCGCCTGCAGCTGCTTCCGGAGGTCAGCCTCCACTTTGCCGCTCTCTGTCCTCACCCTCCGAAGCTCTTCCTCCAGCTGCGCCTCCCGGGTGGTCTTGGTGGCCGAGTTGGTCTGGATCTGCTCGCGGTAGGTGCTGGCCTTCTCGACGGTCTCCTCTTCCAACTCACGGATCTGTGTGTGTGTGTGCAAGGGGGGGAGAGGGGTGGGGGGGAGAATGGAATGGTGTGTGGGTGTGAGTGACTAAGGGCAGGGGGGGGGGGGG